GTTTGTTTTGATCAGATGATGTCATCGATATTTTTGACAGGGGTTTGCTAAATTCCCCACTTTGGGTTGAATTTTTTTGTATGATATGTAGTGGAGTGGTAGTAGTATCATAGATAGTGTCTTTTTCATCTTTGGTTTTAGACATTGTCTTTTTTTTTTTAGTAGTGGTGGGTCGTCTAGTATAGTAAGATTTTGTTCCCTGTGTTGGTTATCTGAGGTCCTAGTGGGATTTATCAGAGTGGGGTTAGGGGACGTTATCAGAACCACGAGGAGTTCTAAGGCTTCATCGGTGGAATGTAGTATGTTTCTATCTCTTTTCAGCTTTGTATAAGTATTGTTAGGGTCTGTTAAGTAATATTTAGAGTATCTAAGGGCCAAAAATATATGAAATATTTGTATTTTTCTATTCAAAAATGTTTTTTCTCTTAATTTTTATTGTTTTGATATTTAAAATTAGAATTAATGAATATTAGTTTATAATTCTGGTTATATTCATTGCTTCTGTTACAAAGTGGATTGTAATACAGGATAACCTTTTCTCATATGTTATATTAGCATCAGCTTAACTTAATGACTATGTACCATAGTGGAAACTATAATGTCCGACCTATTGAGCTATGTATGTGAATTACTGTTATCACAAAATTCAATATATATATATTGCTAAATCTAACTATATTATTATTTTATAGTAGGTTAGTATTTAATTTGTACAAATATTTTTAATTCAGTTAATATAAATTAATTAATTGTTTCTCATATTCTGAGTGGATTAGATTTATAATATTTGCAGATTAATAGAATTTAATCTTAATATATTTAGTAATTTAAAGTAGCTTTTGTATAAGTGCCCGAGGCACTCAATTTAAGGAAAAAAAAAAACTTTTACACTAAATTTTTAATATAAAAATCTAATTTCATCAAATTGCAATAATATTTTTACATTCTTTATTGAAGTAAAAACATAAAATACCAAGTTGATTTAGATTCATTACATGAGAAGCAATTAACTAATTTGTTGCAAATAAATTAGCCATAATTTTACTTAAATTTTTTCCAAGAGATCCATTGTTTAACCATTGATTACCTAATACCCATTTGGTTTAATTTCTTTCAAAGCCTGATGTAAGTTGTGTGGACATTTTTTATTTAACCTTTTTGATCATGCAGGTATAATAAATTGGCTTGGTTCTTCTTGCTGTTCGATTTCATATATATCATTTTTATTATTTTTCTTTGGCCTTCTTTGTGGCATTTTCTTGAGTTCACGACTTGATCCTTTCTTATGTTTTGAGGTTGTGGCAACTTGTACCTTAATTCTTTTTTCTCCACATTGGTAACCAGTACTATTAATTCAACTTGAATTCCAATCACATGTTTCAAAGAAAGAAGTTATTGCCAGGCAGACATGTGTGTCTTGTATGAAACATCGTTTCTTGTATATATCAACAAATTTGCACATACTTTTTTCTAGTGCAGGGTCATCTTCTTTGAGAAGATTTTCCAAATCATTGCTAAACCAACATAATTCGTTTATAACCAACTAATGGTAATCAACATCACTCTTTTTTTCATTTATGTTATTAATATTACTCTCAACATCGCTCTCTCTTTCATTTATATTGTAATTGATATCACTCTCACTATCACTCAAGGGCATATATGTAGATTTGGGAAGTGTTCTTTCGTTGTTTATATAATTGCTTTCATTTTCATAATCAACATAATTAACTAAATTATTGTCAATATTTATCATAGGTTCTACTGCTATGTGCATGAAATCTTGATCATGTTGTGCTTGATGAAGATCAGCATAGAAGTTGAGCTTCTTACACTTTTTACCCAATGCCAAATAAGCATAATAGTACCAACTGTTCACTAACATTGTAGGTATCTGGTTCAGACCACATATGTTATAATGGATTGCTATTGAGGACTGGTGTTTGCACAGAGCTCCTGTCGGGCTACATTCACAAATTCCAAGTCGCATATCGACAAGATACTATATGTCCTTATTTTTGCTGCTTCTATGTCTAAAAATCAGTGAATCAGAGTTTACTACTTCAATGTCATTCTTTGATTCAATATTCCAGCCTGAGAGTCGAAAACGAAGAGAGATAAATCCATCTAGTTTATTGTGAGCTATGGCAAGTAATTTACAAGTATAGTAAAGGTTCATCGTACTAATAACAAAATGAAAAATTTGTATTGTATTAAATGCTTGTACTTGCCCAAAAACAATATCCTTAATGATCTGAATTCCCGTCTCTGCAAAGTTATTTGTATTATTATTTCAAATTGGCAAGTTTTGACGAAATATAATAGCCTACTCTTTACGTCATTTCCATGCAGTTTCAAAATACTTTTGAAATTTTGGATATTTAAGATACATTTCACTTATCATAAGTTCTATATATTCTTTCTCAAGCATAATCTCAGTCTTTGCGAAAATGATCTTTTTTGATGTCCAATGAGAGTAACATAATCAGCCATATAGATACTACGTTTTCTGTTCCACAACTATTTCCATGCAGCTTGCAAAAAATGGAAACACATAACAACAAAATCGTCTTTTCCCAAGTATAGCTTAGTGCTTTTCTTTCTGTGGCACAATTATCAGTCATAATAACTTGTGGCCCAATTGTAGGCCCACATCCCCCAAATACGTCTGATGGCTTTATATTCTTTAGTGCATTTAAAGCTTTGATAAAAGTTTGTACTGTCTCATCTGACGTGAGTATTATAGCTAGAGGTAAGCCACCAACTGGCATGCTTGTTGAAATAATAGTTAATGGTATATTAAGGGTATCAAGACTAGCTGTTGTATCCATATATACTAGTTTACTAGCTTGTTGCAAAGTGTGACAATGTTTCATTAAATCAGTTAAAATTATGAGAATAAATGGTTGTCCAGGATCAGATTCTGTTGGAGTGACATAAGATTGCATCTAGGCACTTCCTTTTTTGCTATTATTAAATTTCATAACTTCTTCAGCCAAACGATTGAACATTTCTTTTCCATTCTTTGCACCGATAGACTTGTCGAGAAACATTTGATGAAGGTAGTAAATATCTTGTTTGTTTGGACAAATTGCCTGATCTGCTAAAATTTCCTTATCATTTTCATACTTCAGCTGAATCTCTTCCAAATATGTATAATATGCACTTGCAGGACTATGCCTGATACAAAAAAGCTCAAAGAATGCTTCTTTTGTTTTACTAGATATAGAATGGAAGCTCATAATATGACTTGATGAAAAATGATAATTATAATGAAATAACAAAGACACTATGCATAGATGAGTATCTAGTTTGTTCTGTACTTGTATACTAAGTGTTGCTGGACAATTTGTGTCTCTTATACATGTACTAGTTGATTTTTTTTCATCAACACTTAAATCATCAATTTTTTTTCCCTGTTTTAGCTTTACCATATGACTATGTATGCAGTGAAAGTGTTTAGAAAGAAGAAGACGAACACCCTTAATAATTCTTCCTTGAGTTTCTCATATAGTCACTTTATGCAAATTCATGAACTCGTCAAGCCATGTTTCGGCATCATTAACTGTACAAATATTTATGCGAAATTTTGCTGTAAATAGTTTTGCATAAGCACCCAAAAAATTATAAGGTTGAGCCGCTTCAAATGAATTGATAATATAATTATAGCTTTGAGGTAAAGCTTTTTGTAAAACTGTAAGTGATGTTTGTGTGATATTAAGATCATAAGATACTTCAATATTTGATATATTTGTTTTATTCGTATTTAATATTAGGTCGAGCTTCATTATCACAAGAAAATTTTATAGAAAACGCATCTCAAACTGGGTTCTGTTTTAATGTCTATTGTTAGTAAAAGAGTAATATTAACAAACGTTACTATATTTCTTTTAAATATTTGAAGCATGGGAAAAAAATATAATTATGATGTAATTGTGTAAGTCTGAGTTTTAAACTTTGTTGATTAAAAGTAACCTTTATGATTACATATTATAAAAATACATAAGAGCATTGGAAATTCAAGATAAGTATATATTGAAGTCTTTTATTAGAAAAATTCAAGCATGATTAATATGCATTATTCATTATTTTTTACAGGTAAATTTTTATTAATATATGAACAAATATTATATCTTTATTAAATTAAGTGTCTATTTTACATACCAATTTATTCTATATAAATTAATTTTTATTTATTCATATTGTCTATATAGCTGACATAAAATCTCAATTTACTAAGTTTTAAATTTAAATTATAAAATAAATGTAATGTCTTTGGCACTACTATGTACTATCAAAATTAAAAAATGAAAAAGTATGTTACATGGATTATTTTTCAGTAAGCATCTAATGATTTTCATCACATGATTATAAACTGAGTACAGATTTTATTTTCGAGTCAAAGATTGTAGTTATTCCTTACTCAGGTCTTCCCAAACGGGTTTTGATCATCTGATTTCTTGGCATTTCTGTGCCGAAGCTCTCATTCTAGATGGTGCAACTAAGATTACAGATTTCTAGATTCAACCAATTGATGAATAATTGTTACTCAATACAAATCTATTTTTTGAAAAATGTCATCTATAGGATTCGAATTCTAGACCTGCCGATTGGTGGGGTAATGACTAGACCACTTCACTAAGCCACCACACCTATATAAGTATATTTATACATAATTCTATATATATATTTATTTTAATTTCTAAAATAGCCTATTTGAATTAGTAAATATATTAAAAAAAGCTTTACTATAAATTGGTGACAAAGACTATAAGAAAGGTGTTGGTTAGAGTAAATGGGACGTTGCATGTTGTGGCAAAGTAAAGAGTCAAAAATAGATGGGCCAATGAAGTCTAAGACATGATGTGAAAGGAATCAATTTCTACAAGCAATTGTATTTGGATGAAATTGATGGGTGTAGTTCTGAGAAATTGATTAGTGCAGTATTTGGTAGTCGTTTCAAAATGAGGAAACTTAGTAGAATAGATATAACTTTGGGGATGAAGTTACTGGGGTTCTAGCTTGTGTCGTGGTGCTATGCAGTACCCATGTGATTAGTGATCAGGTACGTGATGATTGAACATCGTGATTATGAATGGTGTGATCATGATTTAATTAAAAGTCTAAAATAGTGATTGCATAAACAATATAGTAATTAGCAATTAGTAATATTAGTGATTACATG